CCCTCTATGGGCCCCAGACTTGGAGGGGTGGGAGGGACAGAGGTGGTCCCTAATGTAGGTCAGAAACCTTTCTCCATGAGGCATCATGTTCTTGTAGCAGGAGGAGATTGCATTTGTATCATGGTACCAGATGGATGGAACACATTTGTTTCTTACCAGGTTTCAGCTTTTAAATCATAGAATATTAAGGGTTGAAAGGGACCCCAAAGATCATCCAGTCTCACCCCACCCTTGCCATGGGCAGGGACACCTCTCACTAGACCAGGCTGCTTAAGGTCTCATCCAACCTGACTTGAACACCACCAGGTTTGGGGCATCCACAACCTCCCTGGAAAACCTGTCCAGTGTCTCACCACCCTTACAGTAAAAATTTCTTCCTAATATCCAGCCTAAATTTCCTCTCTTTCAGTTTGTACCCATTACTCCTTATCCTATCACCACAGTTCCTGACAAAGAGTCCCCCTCCGGCTTCTTTGTAGGCCCCCTTCAGATACAGGAAGGTTGCTATGAGGCCTCCAAGCAACCTTCTCTTCTCCATAACAAACAGCCCTTTCTCAGCCTGTCTTCACAGGGGAGATGCCCCAGTCCTCTTACCAAGTTCATGGCCCTCCTCTGTACTTGCTCCAGCAGTTCCATGTCCTTCCTGTGTTGGGGATCCCAGAACTGCATGCAGTACTCGAGGTGGGGGTCTCACAAGAGCAGAGTAAAGGGAGAGAATCACCTCCCTCCTCCTGCAGTCCAAGCTCCTTCTGATGCAGCCCAGGACACGGTTGACACTTTCTGGGCTATGAGTGCACACTGCCAGCTCATGTTGAGTTTTTCATCAACCATCACCCCCAAGTCCTTCTCCACATAAAATACCTTTTTTGTATTTTTCCAGTTAGTGCCCATGTTTCATTGCTGTAAGCTCATTCAGTTGATTGAAATAACAGAGGAAACTGGTTTTATGTTTGGGGTTTTATCATAGAAAACTTAAGCTCAATCAGGGAATATAGGTTTTTCTGCCATTTCTAGCAGGATACCTTGGTTCTCTGATGGACAGATGCCATTGCTTTCATTTCTGCATCTGTCTACATGGTATAAGGTTTCCCTTGACCCCAGTCCTTCAAAGATTTGAATGTTACAGCAAGTGCTGGGAAGAAGTAGGGATTTCAGTTAGAAATCCAGAAAATCTCCCTGTGGAGGAGCCATCCCCAGCCTCCATCCCTGGGGAGGTGCAGGGAAGCCTCTGCCAAGCCCTAAGAACTAGGACTGTCCACATTTATGCTGCCACTTCCATATGTTCTTCAGAGCACTGGTCTTTTTTGGGGGGTTGGGTTTTTTTTCCCTTAGCATCTTTCAACTGGCTGAAAATTATAACCTTCTCAAGATATAATTAGTATGCCCTTATAAACACCCTGGATGGTTTAAAAACTTCAAGTTCTTGTCTGGCAGCAGAAATATCCTGTAAGGGTGAGTGCAAGGGTTTACTTTTATGCCAGAGGATGAAGGTGCTCTCCACACCCATATCTCTGTGTGGAGATCAGGCTTACATGGAAGCAGAGCAGATGTAGGTTCCCAAGGGGCTGCGAGAGTTGAAGCTGTTCAGCCTGGAGATGAGGAGGCTCTGGTGAGACCTTAGAGCAGTCTTCCAGTACCTTAGGGGGGCTACAAGAAAGATAGAGAGGGACTTTTAACAAGGGCATGTAGTGACAGGACAAGTGGCAATGGCATTAAACTGAAGGAAGACAGGTTTAGATTAGCTATTAGGAAGAAACTATTTACTGTGGGGGTGGTGAGACACTGAAACAGGTTGCCCAGAGAAGTTGTGGAAGCACCATCCCTGGAACTGTTCAAGGCCAGGCTGGATGGAACTTTGGGCAACCTGGTCTAGTGGGAGGTGTCCCTGCTCATGGTAGGAGGTTGGAAGTAGATGATCTTTAAGGTCTCTTCCAACCTGAACCATTCTGCGGTTCTATGACCCTGCCTGGCTATCTCTGTCAGCCCTTTAGGGCATCAGCAAAATGGCTATTGAAATGTTTCGTGACCATTACAATGTATGTGTTGCACTGTCCACTTTTATGAAAGGGCTTTTATAAGAATCAGAAACATTACAATCTCCTCCAGGTGCACACATTTTTGTCAGACCAACAGAAAGGAATGCACTATGCAGTGAAGAGGCATATATTTTTAAACTGCAAACCCAAACTTTATGCACTATTGTACAAACATTGCCATTAAGTGAAAAAATACATCTGTATGTTATGATACAATTTTATTGGTGGGTGTTGACATGAAGTTTCAGCCTTCTATATTGGATTAATATGTGGGATTATGTGCAACACATGTAGTAATCAGTGGGGTTTTTAAAATTCATTGCATTATTCTTGTTCTGTTAAACAGCCACAGGTTTCCCAGTAATTGTGAATATTTTCTTTTTAAGGCATGAATTTTAGACAGTGGGGGCTGCTTTATTCTATTGTAATAACTTTTCAAGCCCTCATCACTCCTTTGCACTGAGACCCAGGGGGCACCTCAGGATCTCAGAGGGTTTTGCCCCCTAATACCAACTGCCTTGGAAAGCCCCAGTGCAGAAGTGGTAGTTTATAAGTTGTGCTGGTTAGAGATGCCCTTCTCACTAAATGCTGCACAGACCAGAAATGGAAGTTGTTACCACAGAGTCACAGAATGGGTAAGGTTGGAAGGGACCACTGGAGATCATCTAGTCAACCTCGCTGCTCAAGCAGGGTACTCCAGAGCAAAATACTTGGGATTGTATCCAGAAGGCTTTTGAGTGCCTCCAGAGAAGGAGACTCCAAAACCTGTCTGGGCAGCCTGTTACAGTTCTCGGTCACCCTCAGAATAAAGAAGTTTTTCCTCACTTTCAAGTGGAATTTCCTGTGCATCACTTTCTGCCCATTGTCTCTCATCCTATTGTTCAGCACCAAGAGCCTGGCTCCATCCTCCATCCTCCCTTCAGATAGTTGTATACACTGAGTGTCTGCCCTCTCAGATTCCTCCAGGCTAAACAGGCTCAGTTCCCTCAACCTTTCCTCATAACTGAGGTGCTCCAGTCCCCTAATCACCTTTGTATCCCTTTGCTGGACCTTCTCCAGGAGCTCCACATCTCTCTTGCACTGAAAAGCCCAGAACTGGACACAGCACTCCAGATGTGGTCTAATTAGGACTGAGTACAGGAGCAGGATCACCCCAGGATACCCACAGGGACACTGTGCTGGCTCGTGAACAGCTTGTTACCCACCGGGACCCCCCAGGTCCTTCTCCCCAGAGTTGCTTTCCAGCAGGTCAGCCCAGCCTGTACTGGTAAAGGGGGTTATTCCTCCCCAGGTACAGGACCCTGCACTTGCTTTTGTTGAATTTCATAAGGTTCAGCTCTGCCCATCTCTCCAACCTGTCAAGGTCCTTCTAAATGACAGCATGGCACTCTGGGGTTTTGCATCATCAGCGAACGTGCTGACAAGGCATCTGTCCCTTTATCCAAGTCATTGATGAAGAAGTTGGATAATACTGGACCCAGCATCAACCCGTGGGAACACCATGAACTACAGGCCTCCAACTAGACCCTGTGCCACTGATCACAACCCTCTAAGCTCCACTGTTCCGACAGTTCCGAATCCACCTCACCATCCACTCATCCAGACATGATGCTAAATATCCCAAATACCTGCTGCTCTCACATCCAGGAAAGAGATGCAGAGGAAGGCAAGGGGGCTCAGTGGTCCTCTCCCTACCCACCAGTCCCATGTCCTCTCCAGTCCCATGTCCTCTCCATCCTCCCACTGCCTTGGATGGGGGGAAGGCCTCCCCAGAACTCCTTTATGCCCCATCTCAGGTTACCTTTAAATTTCTAATATTTTCTCTTCCCCTCTTGCAAAGGGGCCAAAGCAAATTTTGGCTGGGGATGCCTCAGCTACTGGCATTTGCAGATCCCATGCAGCTTTACATCTGCTTCCACCTTCACCAGAGACATTGAGACACTGAGGTTGGTTCCTGGTATTTCATATCCTGGGAACTGGTAAGTAACCATCACTGACTCAGATAAGCACAGGAATATTTTCTTGTTGCTGACAATTTATCTTTCCTCCCTGCTTCTTGCAGATGAAAGTCTTTCCCTTCTCCAGCGTATTCCGTGTCCTGTCCCTGGTGCATGCATGTGTTGTGGGGCTCTGGTAAGGTGAAGTGCAAAGAGAAGAAAAGGAAATTTTGAGAAAGGAGTGGATTTTAGCTAAAGTTACAAAGAAATCAGAGACACTGGCATGATATCTTCCTGTAGGATAAAGCTTCAGAGGTTAGTCAGAACTAGGCGGAAACAGACAGTGCTTTGTCCCCCGTACTGGAATGTTTTGCTGGGAGCAGCTGGAGAGGCATCATGGGCAGGCTAGCAGAGGGACCAGATACCAAGGCTCAGGGATACGAGGCCGAGCTGGCCAGGCAGCTCTGGGGGCCGGCTCACAGCTCTGCATGGCTGCTGCCCCACATTGCTTCAGCAAGGACCACTACTGCCTCGCCCCAAATCTGGGCAGAGATGTTGGTGACCAAGAATGTGTCTCTGTGGCTATGAATAAAACTTCAGCTGTGTGTCATTGAGAAAGACCCTAATTTTAGCTAGCCCAGCACAGCATTGAGCTGCATGTCACTGAGGTGACCCAGCACACTCGAAGGGTGGAACTTGTGCCCCTCTGCTTGGGCAAACCAGGTGTATAATGCTTTGTTTTCTGCTGGAGTTTGAGGATGCAGGAGGAAGAGGAAGAGAGAAGCGTTTTCTTACAGGGACAGGGTTAAGAGAGCGTCTGCGATGGGTCCAGCCCCCGGCGCAGCCAGCTCCAGCAAGCCCGTGATGTTTGGGTTGTCCGGGCGCCCGTGATGGCTCCAATGTGCGCGCAGTATGACAGATGACCTATTGAAATAATTTCGGAGCAGTGCTGGGGTTGCCAGGACAACCAGTGCTCCCTGGGCCTGCGCCTGGCCATGTGACGGCCGCCTTGACGTCAGCTGGAGGCTGAGCCTGCGGTCCCGGCCGCGCAGTCAAAGCCTTGTGAGAACCCGGTGGATGCTGGATTCATCCCCGCCGCCGCCGCCGCCGCCGCCGCTGCTGAGTCTCAGGGGCTGCCAGAGCATGGACTATTAAAAACTTGCATTTCTGCAGTGTGAGGTAACCATTTGCTTTACGTTCTCATCAGGTTTGGATTCTTATTCCTTAAAAAAAAAAAAAAAAAAAAAAAAAAAAAAAAAAAAAAAAAAAAAAAAAGAATAGAATAGAAAGCAGCTTATCGCGACTGATATTTTTTTTTCACTTGTTTGTTTTGGCTGGAAGTTTGCCTTGATGAACAAGCCCAGCACTATCAGATAAATGCAAAGTAGCTTCCAGTTACTAATTTTGTGTGCAGACTGCAAAGCGGAGTTAAATTTAGATTAATGATCCATGAAAGGAGAATAAAATGATATTGTTCTCATTTGACACTTTAAGAATATAAATGAACACGAGTAATCCTAGGCTAATGCATTCGGACGTTAAAAGAAATGATGTCTAGGTATTGTGTTGATTTGGGCATCCATACAGCTTTTTTATACCTCTGTTGGAACTTGTAGTTTTTTAATGCTGCCCAATTCAGGCTGGTTTGTACCCGGTGTATTCAGTGAGGGGGAAGCCAGCAGTCAATGCATCTAGGAACAGCGTAAAATCCAACTCTCGAAGTTCGAGCATTTAAATCATCTTTGTTCACACGGAGTCCCTGCTCCCCGCGCGCTCCCCGGGATCTCTGCCCCTCTCCTGCGGCACGCGGCACTCTTGACTGTATAATGTTTACAGAGGAAAGGATCAGGAGCTTCCTGAAAAATTATCTGAAATATGCCAAGAGAGCAGCATTGCTGTAACACAGGCTTTTGTCCTTTTTCTCACGCGCATACACAAGGCTCGTTTTTCCCCTTATTTTTTCTGTTGTGCATTGAGACCAGTTAGAATAGCTAAAAAAAAAAGAACCACAGCGTGAGCAGCATGATTTTTCAATCACCACAGTGATTGAAAAATTAAATGCTATTTGTGTCTTTTTGTAAAAACAAGAGGGAGTTCGGGTCTGTTTCTGTACTGCACTTACTCCGAGGTGGCTGTTGTGGAGAGGGAGATCCCAGAGCTCTTGAAGTTTAGTGCCACGGGCTGAGTTTGTGTGGGAACATATAGATTCATTTCAAGAACAGATTACAGCTGAAGCATTGTGTGCGTTGTTTCCTGGAAAAGTATGTTAGATCGTTCTTATCATCTCTAATTATATACTCCTGTTCCCTTCCTCCCAAAGTTCAAAGGGTTTATTGATAATGGTAATGATTCTCCAAAGCAGCTGCCTGTCTGAAACAATCATGGAGCTACAAAACAATTCAAAACGCAGAGCAGTAAAAGATTTAAAAAATGCTATTAAAATAATACAAATGTTGTGAAATGAAGCATAAATAATTGTTTCAGAAAGGCAGCCAAGACAGGCATTAAAACTGAAGGCACTTCTCTAAGGAAAGTTATGGCTTAATGCTCTGGATTTCACTGCGTTTGACATTCTTAGCAGAGCAACAAGGATAAATGCATCTGAAACCCTTAAACCATTTCACTGGGTGTTATCAGTTCTTTCCAGTTCAACTCTTTTGCCTAAAACATCAGTGTTTGGAGGGGCTGAGATATTAAAATTTTTCAGTATTAAATTATTCATCTGATGCCACTGCACTGACTCCTCATGGATGACTTTAACCAAGGTTTACAGGAGCCCTGCAGCTTTGGTGCAGAGGTGCTGTAGCACCCCAAGTACAGCTTTCTCTTGGGGAGTGGGGCTCTCGCTGTCCTTGCCAGGGTGACCCGCCTGGGCTGAGTTGGGCATGGCTTCTGCTCAGCTGGCACAGGGATCTATGTTTCAGCCGACAGCAGTCCATCCCCCTCCACCCACATGTGCGTTCCCCCAGACTCTGGGCAGCAGAGTGGATGGGGAGGGCAGGGAGATGTGGTCAATGTGACCCATGACCCTCTGAGATCTGATTGTTCACCAGCTTATACTGGTAGAGCAAGTCCAGTGAGGGACTGGGACATGGAGTATGAGGACAGATTTGAAATGAGCAGCACCTGCCATTCAAGGGAAGTCATTCACCCTCATGTCTGAAGGATTTTCCTCCATGTGTAGCTGCAGTCTCCTGCCAGGCTTGACTTGAGTTGCCAGTGTGGCAGTGATGCTCTGTGTGCTGGGGCTTATTCGTTTAGGCTTGTAATGCCTGTAGCATTTGATGCTTTGAAAACACCTTCAAGGGGAAAAATAATTGATGCAACTTTTGCTCAAGAGCTATTAATTAGAAATATTTTTAAAATAGGTTCCTCATATCCAGATGGAATGGACATATCTTGCTTTAGCAATACTGAGCAAGTCTTCAAAAGATCCTAACTTGACCTGACAGAGGAGGAGGATAAACTGCTTCACGCTGTAGCAGAAAGGTCCCAGACATGTTGTGGCAGGAGGTCTGAGAGACAGTGTTACAGGGGAAGCTGGTGAGTGCCACTGAGGTTGCACAGGGATGCGACCTGCTGTGCACATGGAGTCTTTGCACCCTACTATTCCCCAGGCTTTCTGCCCCTCTCCTGGGTCACGAAGCGCTCTTGACTATGTGGTGTTTACAGAGAAAAGGATCAAGAGCTTCCTGAAAAATTATCTGAAATATGCCGAGAGAGCAGCATTGCTGTAACACAGGCTTTTAGCCTTTTACTCACACGCTCACAGCGTGACAGCTCTGTCCCCTCTCGACAAGTCTTTGGGGGCTTTGGGCATCCCATCAGTCCAGGAGATGGGGATGGTTGAGCTGCAGGCAGGCAGGCAGCTCACAGGCAACACTAGAGTCTGCAATTGGAGAAGGCACAGGTCCCTGCTCAGCAGAAGAGCAGGGAAGGGTCTGTGAGAGTCATCCTGGAGCTGCATGCCTCTGCTTGATGATTTCATGCTCTTGTTTCTGCTGAAACAGAAAACTTTTGTACCAAACCCTTTTGACAAGGGCTTGAATTTTGCCCTAGCGGTGTGTAAAGTTGCCAGGCAATGTAACACTAAGCATCCTGCCGTCTGTGCCCTGCCATGGTTTCACCTACCATGAGAAAAGAACCAACAGCCTGTAGATTCCTTCCAGTCACCAAGAAAGGGGAACGTCATTGCAGCCCATCCCTCACCTTCTGCCCAGCACCACAACCATGCCACTGCCAAATTGCTTGGACTTGAAATCCTCTGACATAAAGACAAAAAACATGAGATGTACATGGGCTTGGCATGAGGAGGGGATGATCTCTTCCAACAGTCTCCTTGTCCATGGTGAAGGGCGAGCAGACCAGCAATTCCTGAGGGAATTCACCTTAGGAGAGACCCTGGCAAAAAGCAGGACTGAGATCTCCTCATGTCATTTCTCACACAGCTGGATACAGCAGGGAAATTAAAAACAGGTGGGAGATGTTGATGCCTCTCGCCTCATAATAATAACACACTCAAGCCTTCAGTGTGCTCTACCTTGATCTGGTTGAGTTGATGGGCAGTGACAATCTAGATTTAGGCTAGAATCACAGTAAAAAAAACTTTGCAATGCAGAACGCATCTCCTTGAATTTTTTCAAATAGAATGCAATTTCTGCTGTCTTTTTAAAGGTTCTAGCCTCTACCTAGGCAATATTCATTGGGGGAATAAAAGCCTCTGGGCATCGTGGAATTGTCAGACAGGGGGAACTGATGTTTCAGTATGCAATTTTACAATCTTAAATTACTTATTGGTTGGTTACAATTGCTTAAGTTGGTTTCCACTCTGCTACAAATCATTACATTGTGCTAATTTAATGCCTCAACATTAGAGATTTAGCATTTTAACCCACAGTTGCTTTTCCAATTAAACACAGATGCCGTGCATAGTGTAATCTGAATGCAAAATAAAAGTTGACCTGGCTGTTGGTTCCAAGCTAAAGCAACAAAAACCCTAACTCTGGAATGTTTTTGGTAGTCATATTTTAGAAATAATTTTCTATGGTGAGCCAAAATCTATGTAGACAGTTATAGTCAGATAACAGTTTAAAAAATAGACTATGTTTTGGCTGTACTTTTGCTGCTGTTAAATTTATCTTCTTAAATAGCAGGGAGTATGAGTTGAGGTTTGAGAAACAGTAATTTTGTAATTATTTTATATGGATCGAATTATTCTGTCATCAAATTTGCATTTCAGACAGCATTGCAGTATAAAAATATAATTAGAAACTGTAATTCAGGAATTGCTGAATGTGATATTTCCCAGAGGGAGCACTGTGAAGAAGCTGCCCTCACTACAACTTTAGCAAATGTTGAAATCCTATAGGTGGAAAATATGAAGGCTGAGTTGTAAAGTTCCTGTCCCTTCTGTGATCTCCACATGTTGTCAACTTTCTGCCGAACTTCATTTTATCATAAGATTCATTTCCACAGAAACATCTAATCATTAAGAGCTGAAGGGCTTAGATCCTGTTCTGCTAAATTTCAGTCTGACTGTGCTGATAGCTGCTGAATTGCTTTCAGCCACAAAATGACACTGAGATAATGTAAGGATCTGATTTACATGCAGAAAAGCCATGAAGCTTGTCGTTTGGTCTGAAATGCTGGTTTTCATTTGCCCAGCACCCGGAATTCCCAGCAATGCCTCTTTTCACAGAAGAGAGCTGAGGATGGGTCTCAGTTTAGCTCTGTTTCTCTCCTTTTGTAATTCAGGGTTTTTCAACATACATGTTCACGGCATTGTGCAAAGTTTTGGTTGTATAAAACTCACTCATGTCAATGTTTAGGGTTTTTACTATTCTCGTTAGAATCTTTAGCTTATCGTAGGCACACTAGCCGGAGACAAACACGTCACGTCTATTTTAGTTGGGCTTGTGTTGATAAATTCCATCCACTTTTGTCTGAGACAAACACTTCTTAGGAGAGCATCATCCACAGCCAGTTTTTCCCACCACCTCGTTCAGGCACTGGGCAGGTCCCTATGTGGAACTAAGCGTGTGATACACAAAGCAAAGCTAGCATTGTGAGGAAGCAGAAGCTGAGTGTGGGGCATATTTGATGCTTTGATGTCCCCATACATCTGTCACAGTCCTGCTGAGAGACAGTTGCAGTGTTATACCAGAGGAAATGTCAGGACA